CGCCGCGCCCAGCCCCGCCGCCGCCGCCGCCTCATCTGCCTCTCGGTCGCGCTCCTCGCGCTCCCGCTGCCGCGCGTCCCGCCACTCCTGGCGCGCGGAGCCAAAGCCCAGGCCCGCGCCGCCAGGGCCGCCGCCCAACCCTGCAGGCGGGGGTGTGGGTGAGCCAGGGCACGGTGAGCACAGGCATGCCGGCAGGGCATACGGCGGCTGGCAGCCAGCTGGAGGCCTCTCATGGCAGCCACGCCGCTGGAGGCCCGGTGTCCCTGCACCCTTTCCCTCCCTCCTCCCCACCCTCCTCCCAAAGCCCCGCCGCACCCGGCCCGCCGAAACTGCCGTCGTCGACGGGCTGCATCAGGATGGGCGGCATCACCGCCAGGCCCAGCCCCGCGTGCGGCAGCTCGGGGCCCGGCGGCGGCAGCGGCGGGCCGGGCGCCGCGGGGCCGCCGCGGTCCGAAAAGTGCTTGGAGCGAGGGGCATCCACCTCGATGTCAGAGTACAGCATGCCGGGGCGGTAATCCTGCGGTACAGACAGCGCGGCCGGGCGGGGCGGTGTGGCTTTGGTCGCGCTGTGGCTTTGGGTGCGCGCTTCGGCCGGCGCCCGCCCGCCCGGCTCTCCCGCCCCAGAGCAGAAAGCAGCATACAGCAGCGCCACACATCCAGTCGTCTGCCGTGCCCCACACCCCAACACCACCACCACACACACACACACACACACACACACACACACACAGCGCTCACCCCCATCTGCGCGTAAAACTTGTCCACCCGGGACTTGAGGTAGGCGTCCACCTTGGGGGGCGGCGGCACCCCCGCCGCCTCAATATCCAACGGGCTGCAAGGGGGGCAGGAGGGGGCAGGAAGAGCGGGCAGACACCTTGTTGTGCAGGCTAGCAGTGCATTATGTAACATAAACACGTGCTGCTGGGGGCGGTAGCTGCGCTGCCGGGGAGGGCAGCTGAGAGGAGGGCGCCGGCTCGAGGCGAGCCCCAAGCTGCGGCAGCGCTGGAGGGCGGCAGTGTGGTGTGGTGTGCGGCAGCACAGGGTGCGCACCTGAGCGGGGAGTAGGGAGGGTCCGTCTTCAGCTTGTCCTCCACCAGCCGAGGGATGAGGCCTGCGGGCGCAGGCAGGCAGGCAAGGCAGGCAGGCGCAGACCAGATGGGGCAAGTGGGGCAGAAGGCAGGCAGGCAGGCAGGCAGGCAGGCAGGCAGGCAGGCGGGTAGGCACGCAGGCAGGCACACAAGAGCACCCCGACAGCGTCCCGCCGCCACAGCAGCAGATGCGCGCCCATGCAGGGGCTGCACAGCTGGTGTCCTTTGGCTGAGGGAGCACAGTCACACACAGCCTGGGCCGAGGCTGCCCTGCAACCCTCAAGCCCCAAACACACGCACCTGGCGGGAAGGAGCAGGGGTCAAAGCCCGGCTCCTCAGGCTCCGGCTCCGGCGGCGGCGCGTGACCGGGCGGCAGCGGGTGGAAGAAGGCGCCGCCTGGGCCTGCAGGCAGGGGAGGAGTGCGCCGGTTGCACAAATTGTGTTCGGCGCGTGGGTTCGTGCTGTGGGCAATCCAAACAAGCATGCGCGAGGCATCATGCAGCGGGGAAGGCTGGAGGCTGCTGGCGGCAGCTGCCGGCGCTCGCCTGCTCCCGGCGGCGGCGGGTAGGCGCCGTGCGGCGGCGCGCTGTGCGGCGGGAAGAAGCCGCCTGGCAGCTGCATGCCGGGCGGCCCAGGGTACTGCCCTCCCTGCGGCGGCGCTGCGTAGCCCTGCCCGCCTGGCGGCGGCGGGTAGGCTTGGTGCTGCTGCTGCTGAGGGTGGCCGTGAGGCGGCGGCATGCCCGGCTGGCCTGGGTAGGGTGGCTGTGCCGGGTACGCGCCCGGCGGCGGCGCGCCATACGGCTGCTGCTGCTGCGGCTGCTGCTGCTGCTGGCCGTAGGGTGGCGCCTGCAGCTGCTGCGCGGCGCCGCCGGGCAGCGCGCCAGGCGCATAGTAGCTCTCTGGCGGTGGCGGCCCCGGGTGTGCGCCGGGCCCTTGCGGCGGGAACTGCCCAGGATACTGCTGCGGCTGCCCAGGGTACTGCTGCAGCTGCGCGCCTGGCTGCTGCTGCGGCTGCGGCTGCGGCGGCGGCTGGCCCCACTGCTGCTGGGCCAAAGCGGGCGCGCCGCCCCACTGCTGCTGCTGCGGCGGCTGCGGCGCTGGCGCCTGCGGCTGCATGGCCGCAGGGCCGGCGTGCGGCGGCGGCGCCGCAGCCCCCAGCCTGCGGCTGATGGCCGCGGCCGCCGCCTTGGCCGCCGCCGCAACGTCCCACGACCCGCCGCCCGCAGGCCCCGCCGCCGCGCCGCCGTTTGCCTGCGGGGCTGCGGCCTGGGGCGGGGCCTGGGGCGGGGGCTGGGCTGCGGCTGCCGCGGCTGAGGCCGCAGCCGGCTGGCTGGGCCCGGCGGCGGGCACGGCGCCGCCCATCAATTCCCGCGTCAGCTGCTCCACCAGCGGGCGCTCATACACGCCGCGCTCTCCCCAGAAGCCCACCACACGCAGCAAATTCTGCTGCGCATCGGGAGCCTGCCCTCCCGACAGATAGGCGTGGCGCAGCATGCGGCCGAGGCGAGGCCGGAAGGCTTGGGCCACAGGGTCTGCGGGGCAGGCAGGTGGGGCAGGTGCAGGCCGGCGAGGCGGGGCAGGTGGGCGAGGCGGGGCAGGCGGGGCAGGTGCCAGGCCGGCGCGGGGGGGCAGATGGGCAAAGACGGGGCAGGCGGGGCCAGTGCAGGCGGGGTGTGAGGGGCGGAGCTGCAAGCAGGAATCCGCAAACCGCGCCTCCCGGCCGGGAGGCCGATCCCAGGGGTTCCGCTCCACAGGTGCGAGGTGCAGCCCGTGCTCAATCGAGGCAGCCAGCGGGCCGGCAGCGGCAGCGCCCACAGGCACACCAACACACACACGACACTCGCCCGGCCGGCGACTGCGGCGGCGGCGCGACGGCGGCGATCCCCACCCGCATCGGGGCCTGCTCCCTGCGGCCTCGTGCTGAGTGCCTTGAACAGGATGTCGTTTGCCAGGTAGAGGATGTGCAGCTGCTGCTGGTGGTCGGCCAGGGACAGGACTTGCTGCGAGGGGCGGGAGGCAGGGGTGAGGGTTGTGAAGCACGGCGGGAGCAGCATTATGGCAGCATGTTTGGAGGGCAGGAAGGCAGTCAGCTGGGCCCAATTGAGCTTTCTGAGCCGACTGACTGCCGCTACGACATTCGCAGGGACGGCGGAGCGCAGTGCAGCGCAGCAAGCAGCGGCAGGGTGCCCCCCATTCGCTCACCTGCAGCATCATTTCTGCCATCCCGGCGGCGTACGGCACGCATGCCATGAACCAGGCCTGGCTGTTTCGGATGCTGTCCCGGGAGCCGTTCAGCAGGCCCAGCACCTGCTGCCAGCCGCTGCTGACCTCCGCGGGGAGGCCCTGCAGCGCAGCGGCGGTGTCCTGGGCTGGCTGCTGCTGAGGCGGCGGCGCGACGGCGGCGGCAGGAGCGGCGGCGGGAGCGGCGGGCGGGGCTGCCTGCGCCTGCGGCTGCTTTGACACCGGCAGGCTGTTGAGGCTGCAATACAGCGCCCAGGCGTAGTACTCGTGCCCAGGGCCGCCGTATAGGAACGCAAACTCGGGGCTGTTGCCCTGCCGCTCGGCCATCATTTGCACGAAGCTCAGGCCTGCGTTGGATCAAGCAATTGGGGGTTGCAGCGGCGCGAGGAGCCAGAGGGACGGACTGCACTGTGGCATCGGGGCCCTGCGCACCATTGCGGCCAGCGTAGGCAGCCAAAGTGTCGATCCGCTTCTGCAGCTCCGTGTCCGACGGTGGAAGAGCAAAAGGGGGCGCTGGGCCGCCCTGCAGAAAAGCTAGAGAGGCCATCACGGCGCTGCGCACTTCTCAGAGTGTGAAACTGATGGGCAGGAGCAGGATGGCGCTTGGCATCGGGAGGCGCCATCATGGCAGCGCCACGTCACACCGCCAATGCCACTTGAATGCATGCAAAGCATCGTCATACAGCGCTCCCACAAGTCTTGCAATTGCAATTAAATAGTGAGATCAAGCCCAGCAAAACCCGATCATGGAATCAAGGGAGAACAACTGAGGTGCAGCACATCTCAGCTCGCCGACTCTGCCGCCACGCCCGCCTCGACGTCAGGCTCAGCCGGTGGCAGCGGGGCTGCCTCCGCCGCCTCCTGGGCCCCAGTGGGTGCCACCGCCGTGGACGCCGAGGCCGCCTTCTTGAGTCCCAGCCTCTCCTCCAGCGCCTTGGCGCCCCGCTCCCTGCGCCAACCACAGCGGCAGCAGCAGGCGCATGTTGACACCCCCCCGGCAAACACGCGGGCTGCCTCCCATGCCTTGCAGATCCCCATCTGCTCATGGGGAGGAAGCTCCCCAGCAGGCCCAGCCGCGCACCCAGCCACCCACCTGCGGCGCGCCGCTTCCCCGTCGTCGGTGCCGGGCAGCACGCTGCCGCCCATGCCATAATTCCAGGCCGCCTGCTGCGCCTGGCTGCCGGTGCTGGCGCCCAGGCCGGTCAGGCGGGTACAGGCGCCGGCCACCTGGTCGACAGGCGGCTGCAGGGGCTGCGGGAAGAAGGTGGACAGGCGGAACTCGTCGGAAAGGTCGCCCCTGCAGCCAGCAAGGACCGATACCAGCAGGGCAAGGCATGAGACAGCAGAGGCCAGCACAGCGGAGGCCAGCACAGCAATGCACCAAACCGAAAGCAGCTGAATGGCCAGCTGACTCCGCATCCTACCCCTGCGTGCAAGGCACACGCCGCCACCGCGACGTGCACGAGCATGCACGCCGCTGCCGGCCGGCGCTGGGCGGGCGCCGCCTCACCGCACGCCGTTGCGGGTCTGGACGAAGCGCAGGAATGCCCAGCCTAAGTAGGTGCCAAAGAGGGTGAAGGGGATGACGCGCACGGCGCCTCCGAGCGCCAGCGACCCTCCCACCATGGCCGCAGCATACAGGGCGGGCAGGTGCTGCAGGGGGAGCGGCGGCGGGGCGCGGACCATGCAGGAACTGTCGGGTTCTGTAATCTCACTCAGTCAGTCAGTCAGATTGGGTCATGCTCGCTCCCTTGCATTCCGTGTGGAGCAACCAACAGGCCAGCAGGCTGCGGGGAGCCACACGGCCAGCCGGCGGCACGGGCCGCGCTCGGAAAGGCGCTGCATCGGGCCGGGGGGTCACCTTGGCCCGGAACTTGAGCGCGCCACCCAGCAGCGCCACCTCGTTGTCGGGGATCAGCTGCTTGACGGCCACCAGCAGCGCGGCCAGCCCCGCCTCAAAGCCGCCCATGGGGCGGAAGAGCTTGTCGCCGGCGTGGTCGGCCTTGGGGGAGGACTTGGAGGAAAGCGTGGCGTAGTAGAGCACGGTCACCACCGCCACGGTCTGCAGGGGCAGCGGGAGAGGCCGGCAGCGGGGTGCGTCGCGGCGACCGCCAGCCGGGCACGGGGATGGGGTGGCAGCGCACAGGCCGCGCCCAGCATAGCGTGCAAACGAAAGGAGAGGTAGGAGGGAACCATACCAGGAAGGAGGTGAGGGTTATGACGATGGAGAGGTACTTGAACAGCTCCCGCGAGCCATAGATGGGCTCCACGATGCGAGCCAGGAAGAGCACCGCCACGCCATAGGCCAGCGACTGCGGGCAGGGCAGTGGTGCGTGGCGCCAGGCGGGAGGGTCGGCGGCGGCGCCGGCAGCCAGCACCAGGCGGGGCGATCTGTGCATGCTAGCGGATGTCCGCCAGTGCATCTGCACAGCTCCGCGTGAATCTGGTGGGCTCTCTTGGCTGCGCGCCAAGCTTGGCGTTCCCATGGCCGAGCGGCGGCAACACCGCCCACCGCCTGCAGCCCGCTGCTGTGGCTGTGGCCACTTACACATCCGACACTCAGTAGGATCGGGGCTCACGTTTAGGATGTTGGCGTGCAGGAAGGCGCAACTGAACAAGGTCCATGGGCGCGGGATTGCTCGGGCAGCGATAAGGCCCAGGCTGCCCTCCACGCTTGGCGCAACTTGAACCAGCACGCCGCCAGCCACGATGGCCACCGCCAGGCCCTTGCCCAAAGCAGTGAAGCTCTGCAGCACAGCAGCCATGGTTTGGTGCAGAGCGGCGAGCTGATAACGATCAGAGAACCTTCACAGAAAATGCGCCATGGCGCGCCCGGCCCACAATGTAGCACCCACTTTCCAGTTTGAACCGCCCGCCACGACCTGCTGCGGCGGCGGCGTTCGTCCAAACATCCCACGGCAAGCCCACGCCTTCCTGTCTGTCGGGACATCACGCAGGCTAACAATAGTTCCCAAACACCCTGGCATCAGGTTATGCAAGAAGCGCTAAATGGGAAAGGCTCTAGCGGGGCAACGTGCTCGGAGCAAGGGTGTTGCGTCCTGGCTCCTGGCACAAGCAACAGCACAGCAGGGAGCGGAAGCAAAACAAATGGCAAACAGACAACAAGGGAAAGCAGGTGCAGGGGAAGGGTGGGTACACTCGGTGAGAGAAGAAACAACCAGAGGCAAACTGCCGCTGTAGTGACTCCACACAGCACTCGCCCGCAGTGCTGGCAGCGTGCGTGCTGGGGGTTCAGGGATCAGAGGTGGCAGCCTTTGGTGGCAGCAGATTTTAGGCCGGTGCACAGCGCAATCGTGAATCTTGCCACAGCTGCACAGTTACTCAAAAGCTGGTTGGGCTGGTGGCAGGCTGGTAGAACAGGGTGTGGCGAGGATGGGGTCTCATGGATGAAAAGCAGGGAGGACGTAAAGTAGCAGAGAGGAGAGTGCTGTCAAAACTGGAGCTGCCTGGGTGTGACCTGGGCCCGCCGGTTGGCAGCGGGCCGACCAGGCAAGGAGAACCTACCTGCCTACCTGGCTGCGCAACGGATCAGCCACAAGGGTGCGCATGCGGCCGTGCGCCTGCCGGCATGGGCGTCTACCTAGGAAGGAACGAAGCTAGCTGTGGCGAGGGCCGGGGCTGGGGCTGCACGCCAAGCCGTCACACGCCAAACAGCGACT